TCAATTCAATTTCTCCTCTGTGCTTCCTCTTATGTTTGATTCCCAACATCCTCTAAAGATTGTCATGATAGATTTGTCCCATAGAAAATCATGGTTCCCAGCCCATGCATAACCCCAGAAAGCAAGGAAACCTCCACAAACTGAGCAGCTTAAGTGCCACTTTAATTTCTTTGCCCAGGATTCTAGACTGTTTTACTTTGGGTCAAGAAAAGCTCAAAATCTCAGGAATAACTGTAGCAAATTAGAATTTACCCTGAGAGCCATGAGGATCCTATTTGTAACCAAGCATTGGTCAGCATCAAGATTTTGCAGTAGCAAGAGATACAAATCCTAGAAAACCTAATTCCAGAGTCTGGCCTTCAACATTTCTCAATTTCCTCCACAATATACATTTCAGACTAAATGTAAAATTAATCTCATCTATGCCTAGGGATCTATGAATCTCTGACAACTGCTTACTGGAATGTAATCCACTTTGATAAAAGCCCTGGTGTTTTAAGTTCAGATTGCTGGACCTCACCTCAAGATTTTGATTCATTATATTCTAGTTGTAATGAGAACAACTTGATCCAAGATGAAGGTGCCATGTGGAAAAAACTTATGCTCAGGAATTAGATCTTAAAAATCCGGCTCTATCCTATCACCCTGTTCCTCTTTAGAATGAGACCCATCAAAATCCATGCCCCATCAAAACGGAATCTTCCCTTTCAAAGCTCCATTAAAGGTACATTCTCCTATTCACTAAAATACAAATTACAATGCAAATAGGCTTTTCAATAGCTATTTCAACTATCAACAGGTATCATTTTCATTTTACAAATGGAAATACTATCTCTACCACACACTTTCTAAGGGGAGTCAGTAGGAACCCATGACCTCATATCCTTAACTCTGAGAATCTGTTAGTTGAGTTTCCAAGGTACAGGAAGGGGTGATACCACCAAAGAACCTACACTCAAGACTACAAGAGAAAAGCCATTTGTTAGATTTAATGAACCTCCTTCCATGTAGCTTCAAGCCACCAGGACACNCTCTTCTGCTGAAGAATTTGGCCTTCACGATGACAGGCTGCTTTGGGAGCTTTCCCTTCCCCAGAACTTTGTAGTAGCCCTAGAAGAACAGAAAAAACAGTTTATAATACACCACAGCAGGTACCAACTCCGTGATGGATATGAGAAAAGATGCCTGCTGACCCACTTTCTAGAATGCAGGTAGGCCATGTTTCTGATCTGGGCACTAATGGGGGCACTGATAGCCCCCAGCAGTGAATCAAGACCAGTAGATTCTCTCCGAGGACTCTAGCACACCAGGACAAGAGTTGTGTCAGGATGTGACTCTAGTCCCGGCAAAGCACCTTTCAATTACCCCAATAAGCAAAAAGGACTAACGTGTTCCCAGAAATGCTCTAAGTCCTGACCACCAAAATTGCTCAAGGGACATTAATGCTTAATCGAAAGCCTCCCTAGGAGGAGTTCTGGCCTCTGTAAAAGACTATCTCTCCGTACTCATGGGAGGTAAGACTGACACAAAGACGAGCACCCCCAATGATATTTTTTAAAAATGTCTGTTTTGAGGAGAAACCTCTTCAGATAAACACAGTGCCTTTAAAAATAATCAAACATATTAGGATTTTATTCTGTAAGCAACATGAAGGGCCAAGAGGGCTGTGCTCAAGATCAGAACCAGCTATAGCTCAGGTGAGAAGTGCAAACCTGCTAGAATAAGGGCAACGACAGTAGGAAGTGATTACTGATTGGAAAGACATTCAAGTGAAAATCAAGTGAAAATGAAGTATTTGAATGAGTGAGGGAGTGGGAAGATTACTCTTCAAATATTTTGCCTGTATCACAACAAAATATTTGATAAATCTGTGTTTCCTGAGTTTTCATTTCTGTGAGGCAAAATAAGAGCAGGGCAAGGAGTGGGGGGTGGGTGGGTAGGCAAGAGTTCCACTTTTGTCACAGCGAATAACCTATGATAATTCTACCAAAAGGTGGAATTATCTAGTAGTAGGTAAGTGGGTAAACGTAGGATAAACTTCGGGTGGGAGATTAAGTGGATTCAATTAACCCAGAGTTTTGTAAAGGAACTAAAAACAATAAATTTTTTGGCCGGCCCGTGGCTCACTCGGGAGAGTGTGGTGCTGACAACACCAAGTCAAGGGTTAAGATCCCCTTACCAGTCATCTTTAAAACAAACAAACAAACAAACAAAACAATAAATATTTAATTCACTCACCGATCGCACCACATCAATGATTGGAGCCGCTCCAGTCTTGTTTTTAGCAGCATTTACCCGTGTCTGTTCACTGACCAAGGTCCACAATTTATCAAGGTTGACAGTTGGGCAGAAACTCTGGTTCCTCTTTAAGTGGTAATGCCTCATACCGACTTTCCCAAAGTAACCTGGGTGACTGGGAAGAGAAGGTAACCACCCTCGTAACCTCATTCCAATTAAGAAGCTATATATATCACCTTTACAGTTGCCTCCCCCATTACAGTGTAAATTGCTCACTGATGTAGACCAGTGACTGGCACATAGCAGGCACTTGATACATTTATTGAATTAAACAAATCTTTAAAAACCACCAATACTACTAGGAGGAAAAGGCTAGCCTTATTTCATGGAACCAGGATATATCGCTGAGGAAGTCAGAGATAGCACCGAGACCAAAATTCAGGTCACTTGAGAGCATTCTGTGGAAAATCTACACACTTCTGTAATAGAGATCTCTTTAAGAAATAGTCAAGAAACATATTACCTCCTAATTTGTATCTATAAGTGAATCGAACAGTTGTATAGGTCAACCTGAAGTGTGTCACTAACCTGGTGACTGACTGTGCCATAAGGCCCACAGCCAGTGAATAAGGTCAGCAGTTACTCTTCGAGGGCTCTAGCACACTAAGGCAACAGCCTATACCCAAGCGTGACTCTAGCCTCGATGACCAGTTCTCTCAGTTCATATCAAGTGTTAACTTGGTAAAAGCCAGCAATAGGCAAGATTTGTGAGTAAAAGACTTGCTCCCAGACTGGAGATGTTTTAATCCAGCTCTCTCATCCCCTACCTCCAAAGCTGTCTATGTCAGTAAAAAAACAGTCCAAGAAACACTCACTATTTGTCGAAGTCGATCCTGTGATGATGCATGCCACCAGCATTACCCCGGCCTCCCGGATGCTTCCGGTGCTTGCCTGCAGGAATACAAAGCTACATGGCTAACACAGCCTTCTCCAGGCCTTCAATACTACCTCGCGCAAAGCAAAGCATTTCCCACACGTCAGTGCCCTCGCTTATGCTGCTCCCAGTCTACAACTCTCTCTCGGCATTACTATGTCTTCAAGACTCCGGTTAAAATCTTTTTAACGTTCCACATCACAGCACTCCCACAACATCCCATGTCTTCCACTAATTCAGTACTCTGTCCAGCTCAATTTTTATCTACCCACTGATGCGAAATTCTCTAAAACTGGAGTACTAAAGGACCCTTTAACAGAAAAAAACCAACAGCGATCCAATTTAATCTGACGACAGCAAAAAGGTCTTACTCTAACCCTCGTCTAAGCCACCTACCTCCTGACTAGCTAAGCACCCGAAAAAGAGAGCACAAGGCCAAGCAGGAGGGGAAGCCGGTACTTACCGATACGGCCGTGGCCGTGGCTCACGTGGCCCCTTAGTTTCCGGGTCTTCCTCAGTCTGGATGGCTGTGTGGAAAAAGGAGCTTAGCGGTGAGGCCTACGGAAGAAGGGGCAAGGGGGGATGCTCGCCAGCCTGAGATGGGCCTATAGGCCTGGGGGTCAAGGCCCTGCCTTCTAGCGCATTCAGGCTGTGGACTGCCTCCGAGCCGGGAGGCTTCATCTGGGTGGCGCCTTAGAGATCCGAACCGCGGGCCGAACACGCGGCCTGGCCCCGCTCCGGGCCCACACCAGCCATCCTGCCCTGCGGCCAGCCATCCGCGGCCTGGCACACCCGGCCAAGGTCGGGGTGGGTAGCAGGGGGGAAACAGGACTAGAACTCCGGGCCCGCGCCGGCAAAGAAAAGGAGGCAAGGAAAGAATCACCTACCATGGCTGCGGCAGAGACGAAAGAGAGAGTCCTCTGCGAAGTCTCGCGAGGTACCGAGCGTGGGGGCGGGGCCAAGTGTCTCACTTCCGGCAGGGAGGCGGGACTCGGGCGGGGTCTCCTTGGTCTCGCGGGTTTCGTGTGTCTGGCGGTTGATTCTTCTTCCTACGGTTAGTCGTCATCCTCGCAGCGACGTCACAGGGACTTGGTAGCCGTAAATTCTCCTTAGCACAACCCGTTGTGCCTGGCTCGGAGGCTGTGAACTGTTGAGGAATAGGGGGCATGGGGCGCTCTGATGCACGCCGCCGCCGCCCAGGTGGGTCGGCCGCATTTCTGGATCCTGGGCCCAGGAACCGCCTAAGCTAACTCCAAGGGCCTCCGCCTCTCAGCTCCTCACCTTAATGCCCCAGCCCTGAACGGTCCCACGCGCCTCCCCAGTTCTTAGTGGTGTGCTCGGGCCTGGTGATGTTGAGTGCTTGTCTCCCCTCCGCAGTGAGGAGCCACAGTGACATCCTCAGTGTGCCCACCTCGTGTCTCTCTCTGCTCACTTTTAAGCACTTGGGCGTCTCCCGAAATGTTCGCCTACACTCCTGAGTGGACATCCGCTTTCCTTTCTCCTTTGCCCTTTTGCTAACATCTTGCACGTCCTCTCAAGTTTGAACAACCTTTTCTCTTCAGGGACCTATATTCCTGATTGCTTTTAATTCAGACCCTGTAAATACTTTTTCTTAATGCCACCACATTTAAATTTTCTCCGGAATCTATTTTGACACGCCCTTGATCCCTGCTGGATAAGAGAGCTACTGCCCAATCTGGACCCGTTGCAAGCATTTCCTCCTCTGTGAAACCTCTGACCCATTCAGTCATAATTATTCACTTCCCCATCTGTATCGACACACAGTCTAGTACGCAGCTCTTTAATTATTGATCTACATTTATCTTCCCTACTAGACCAGATTCCTTATGGGCTTAAGGATTGTGTTCTTTTATCCATGCACTCCCACTTCCTGGCATGTAGTACATGTTCAAGAAGTAATTGTTGAGTGAATATATGAACTTAACCTCACCTTCCTTTCTTTACTAATAGCGTAAGAGGAGTCCCTCCTGTCTTAAGTCGGCTCATTGAACCAGTGTTCAAGATCCCATCCCTCAATTATTGTGTAATTATTTTTCTCTGTCTTGCTCCCTTCAGCTAAAATATATTTTAGCTAAAATATTCTAAATTCTCCCTTCTCTATCTACTACCTTTTCTCTTTACAGTCAAATTCCCCAAAAGAATAGTAGTCTACAAATCCTGTCCATTTGCTTGTTTGCCATTCATTGTTTAATCCACTGCAGTCTAGCTCTCAGGCCTACTACTTCAGTGAAATTGCTCTTACTAAGGTCATTAATGAACCAATTACCAAACTGAATGGACGCTTCCCATTCTTCATACCACTTGTTCTTTCCGTTGTACATTTTTCTAGAGAAACTCTTGCCTTCCTCCTACTTCTTTGGCCACTTCTCAGTCTTCTTTTCAGGTTCTTCCACTTTGTCCACCATTTTAATGTTGATGTTCCTCAGCCTTCTGTCCTTATCTCATCTTTTCACAGTACCCTGTCTTGGGTGGCTACAATTCACATCTCTATTACTGAGCTCTGCACTCATATATTCACTTAATTACTGATTAGTATCCCTTGGATATTCTACAGACAGAATAAACATATCCAAAGAACTTAATTTTCCCTGCTCACTGGTGCCTTTTCCTTTATTCTGTATCTTGGTGAGTGACACCATCGTCCACCTAGATAAAATCAGGAAGACCTGAAAATTGTCCCCAAACCTTCTTTTCCTATAAAACACTGTCACCATATCCTTTTCTTTCTGTTTCTCTCAAATCTTCTTCTTCCTTTTATGCCCTAGTGGCACTGCTTTTATTCATGCCCTCATCATATCTCTTATTTGGAGTTTTCAACACCCTCCTCTGATCCCTGTGCCTGCATTCTAACCCTCTTCTCGTCTCTCATTCATACCTCCACTAGGTTAGTGTATTAGTCAGGGTTCTCCAGAGAGACAGAATCAATAGGATACATTATAATTATATGAGAGGGATTTATTAGGGGTATTAGCTAATGTGCCTGTGAAGAAAAGTCCCACGATAGGCCATCTGTATACTGGATGCCCATAGCATGGCTCAGTCCAAGTCCAAAGGCCTTAAAACCAGGGAAGCTGATGGTGTCCTTGGTGTAAGTTCTGAGCTGAAGTCTTGAGCTCTGATGTCCACGGACAGGAGAGAAGAGTGTGTCCCAGCTGCAGCAGATGAAGAGAGAGCTTCACCTCTTTCCTCTGTCTTTTGTTCTCTCTGGATCCGCAGCAGATTGGATGGTTCCCATCTACCTTGAGGGTGGGTCTTTCCCACCCAGTCCACTCAGATTCTCATGCTAATCTCTGCTGAGACACCCTCATGGACACACCTAAAAAGATAGCTTTACCAGGTTTCTCAGCATTCCTTCATCTAACCAAGTTGACACCTAGAATTATCCTTCACAGTTAGTATTAAAAAAAAATGACTTTTGTTCTTTTTACTCACTGGATTAAAAAGTCTTATTTAGCTCCTTATTTCCAAAAGAAGATAGCCCACATGCCTTTCCAATCTTACCTCAGTTTCTTCCCTACACAAGCTTTCTACTGCAGCCATAATTGGTACATCTCTTGGGCATTTTTGCCTTTGCTCATGCCATTTCTCATTTCTGGAGTGCCCATCCTCTTCCTGACCACATATCCTGAATCTTCCTGAACATTTAAGGCCCATCTTATATTGTGCTTCTTCCCAGAATACTCCAGTCCACAATGATAATAGCCAACATTTTCAGGATACCTTACAATTTACAAAATGCGTCTGCCTGAGAGTTCACTACCAGTTTCATTCCATGTGTAAGAAAACTGAGGCACAAAAGAAAAAGAGAAAAAGAAAAACTGAGGCACAGAAGAGTTGAGTGAATTGCCAGAGGCTACATAGCTGGTAAGATAAAAAGCCTGGGCCTAGCCTTTAGTCTTTCTCTCCAGACCCCCTGCTTTTACCTCTGTGACCACTCCCTCTTTGACCTCACAGCATTATGGTCTTCACCACTCCTTCAATCTTAATCACAGACTGCATGTTACCAGCAGAAAGAAGGGTCTTGGGAGTGGGAGGCAAGATCTAAGAAGAGATCATTCTCTGACATCGAAACTGGCCATTGAGTGCAGAAGGGATGAGCTGAGCTACCTAAAAGCTACTCTTGGGAAGATGATCTGTCAATGGAGGTAAGCTGGGCAGAGCCTTGGGAACGGCAGGTAACCTTCAGGTGTATTATAACTGGAGACTGGAGCAAGGTCTAAGACTGTACAAAGAGTTGAGATAGGGTTCTGGGTACTAGGACGCTGCTTCTGAATAGTTTGCCGGTTCCTTGGTTATAGAGGAGCTACAACTTGTTTCTCAGGCCACCTGGCTGAATGGAAGGCCTCCCTCAGTGGTCCCAGCATTCTGTGTTGTGTTCTGTGCTCACCTAACATTCTTTCATTAATGGTTTGATCTCCAGGGTAGAGGGAATACTCTGGGAAGTTGTCTGATCCTGGTTTAGTAGGCAGCTCTCTCTCCTTCACAAGACAACCATGTTGTTTAAACATTCAGCTCAGGAGGGGTTTGTTCAGAGGGGATCAGTTTCCCGAGGTCAGAGAGAGCAGACAAAGCTGAGTTCTATATCTGCAGTTGAGTAGCAGCCAGATGTTAGGCATTAAGTGACGTATCCCTCCTTACCAGGCACGTGGGGCATGACCTTGGACATGACCCCTGAGAGATGTCCTTCTCTGTGACATCTCTTCTGAAGTAGAGCATGGCCTTGTGACATCTCAGGCATCCTGACTCCCTCAGAGACTCAGGGCCTCAGAAAATACCTGCAAAATAAGCAGAAGAGAGATGATGCCAGGCAGCGGCCTGGTATGGCAGGTAAATGTGACACTGATGTTTTTGCTACCCCAGGCCTCTCTCCAGGTGGCCTTGGGAACATACTGACAACCTGAAAAGAGCCCTGGTGGTCCTTCTCCTTTTCTCTCCTCTGTCGGTTTCTGAGTTTATCATCAGGCCTTCAGACAGCAACAGCAGCATAGTTGAATCCAGCCCTGTTTTTTTGCTCTACATCTTTAGATTTGCGCAGGTGGAAATACTGTGTTGCTTTCCACCTTCTCCTTTTCTCTCCTCTGTCGGTTTCTGAGTTTATCATCAGGCCTTCAGACAGCAACAGCAGCATAGTTGAATCCAGCCCTGTTTTTTTGCTCTACATCTTTAGATTTGCGCAGGTGGAAATACTGTGTTGCTTTCCATTTTCAAGTAGAGGCCTGTTAATTCAAGATCGGAAGAACTGGAGTTTCTGGTCTTTTCTAAGTAAGGATTAGAGAAAAGCTTGTAAATCCAAATTTATTTTCGAAAGAATTTAAAAATTATATGTAATAGAAAAGATAGTATAATAATGTTAAAGAAAATTTTGAAAAAAAATAAGAATAAACACTTCAAATCATGCCGTTTTCATTTCTGAATGTCACCTCTCAGCTCTTGTCTACATTGGAGGCATAGCTGTCTGCAAAATTGATGATCGTAGTATACAAATCTTTTGTATTCTGCTTTTCATTTAACACCATGACATTTATCCAGTCTTTGTGATTAGTTTTAAAAGCTAAAGAGTAATTTATCTTCAGCATGTACTGTAATTTACTAATCCATTTTCTTGTGTATTTTGTTTTCATTTTTTTGTTCATATTGTATTCTTTGCAATTAGAGACAATGATGCAATGAACATTTGTGTATATATAGTTTTTTCTTCTTCTGTTGAATAACTTGTCTGGGATAAATTCCCAGGAGTGAGATTGCTGGATTACAGGGTATGAACATTTTTATGATTCATTTTATGTTGCTGTGTATTTTTTTCCCTATGGATTGTACCAATTTATGCACCAGCACTATGTACAGTTTCCAATTTCATTTCAACTTCCCCAGGCCTGGGGTTTTTGTTTGCTTTTATCTGTAGTTTTTGATATATGGCATTTAGGGGGAAATCCATAGGAT